GCAACATTAAAGATTCACTGACAGACTCACTTATCCAACATGGGAGGTTAGTAAGCAATTACCACATATGTAACAAGTTACATGCATATAGAGGCATCTAACAGTCTACAGGTTGACTGTGTGTATTTATTATCATTTATAGTTTATGGAGGCTGCTCTCTGACACTCTTACACCATTGGGCTGCAGAAACCCAACTAAGGATATGAAAGAAAGCTTTGAATGCCTCCCTGGAAGAATACACATAAAAACATACACTTGGAATTGTGCAGTGAGTTTTATTGCACTGAAAATTGATTTCCTTCACAGAAACAATATTTTAAACGTGTACAATGCTTTACGGCTTATTCACTCGCATAAATGTTCAAGCTTAACAAGTGGTTTTCACAATGGGCTTTCCTTTTCTTGCAACAACAACAGAAAACTGCCTGCAGTTTCCTCCCATGTTTTCCAGAGGCCTCTGCAAAGTCAGTGAGCTTCTCTGGAATGTGGTCCCATTTCTCCACAAAATCTGGTGACTCAGAGCCCTGCTTCTGATGAAACTGATGACGCCTGCAGCAGCAGACAAGACATCTTTCAGGGTTTCGCAGAGCTCTTGCAGTTTATAATGAAATGCGGAGCCTCCTCAGAGAATAGAGTCCCTTCCCAGCCCCCGGGGTACTCTCCACCCTGGTATCCTGTTCTCTCCCTGTCAGCTGCAACTGCGTTTCCTGGGGACCTCCACGTCCTTCTCTGCTTTAGCCACACAGACCTCCTTGCTTCTCCCACCCTCTCCTGCCCCCTCACCTCTCAATTTTATTGAGAGCAATAAAAAATATTAATGTACTTTGAACCAGTAATCCCAGAATGAAAGCAGTAACCTCATCTTGATGAAATAATTTTAAAGGAAACATGCTCGTGCGCGCGCACACACACACACACACACACACACACACACACACACTAGGTATGGGGCTGCGACTAGGGTGAGGAAAGTGTAGATAACATATAGCCATTAAATATAAAACTATATAGATATAGAGAAGGGTATATGAAAAAATACTAAGGTGAAAGTAGATAATAGTATCATAAATATGGCATGATTATAAGCATAAAAAAAACAACTTGTAACATAAAGTTAGGAAGAAGCCAAAAGAGATGAAGAATACTGTTTGTCATATTATTTGATTAATAAACCATTTTATAATTATGAACCCTCCAATCTCCCTAGGATAAAACTCCAACTCCTTAGCCTGGCACCCAAGGTCCTGTGAAATCGGATATTAACTGTAAATATATGAAAAAGCACCAAATTGTATACTTTAATAGTGTGACTATTATGGTATGTTGTATGACTATTAAAGCTGTTATAAACAAACATACAAAGGATATGGGGCAGTATAGAAAGAAGCTATAAAGGGAAACATTGAAAAAATAATTAAACAAGACCAAACAATTTGAGTAATTTACAGCCAACTAATGAATCACTAGGTTTTATCTTCCCTTACCAAGGACGCTTAGGAGGAAATGTTTTATACAGACTGTCCAGGGGCAGACTGTCCTTAGTCCTGGTCCCTCTTTGATAACATTCTTTGAAAATAAAACTAATAAAAAAAAAATAACCCTGACCCCTCTATATGCACATTTTGATGAATCAACATATCCATGGACACATCTGGGAAGCTAATGACTATTCTGTTAAGACCCTCCCCTAAACCCTCCTGCAGGATTATCGCCAGCTAAAGATAAAAAGTCTCAAGATAAAGGACCTAAAGTGCCATCCTTTAGAGCACACCCTCACCTTGTATCTGCTTTCTTCTGCTCTAAGGGCTCCCATGAGACTTAGAACCAGGAGAGCACCTGGCAGTGGCAGCTCATCCCAACCTTACTTCTTGAACCTGTCTCCCATGTCCCTCCCCCCACCGCCTTCTCCCCCCCCAACCCCACTACTTCCCAGTGAGCTAACAGTAGCCCTGTAGCCCTGCCTTGGCTCACTTCACTGTGACTTTAACTTCTCAGTGAGCTCATGCAGCCCAGTGTGGCTCACTTCTTCCCTGTAATGCCACTAGGAAACCAAAGCAGCCCCACCTAGGTTCTCTCTGGTTGCTTCTTGTACCTCTATCCTTCCTTTGTTTCACTGTCCCCAGCTTTAGTAAGCATACCCTCAAAATCACTTGGACTCATGTGAAATCTTTCCAGCATGAAGTTAAGAACCCACACGTTACTGGCTGGCCTGAGGCAGACCTGCTCTGGGCTTAATCCAGGTAACATTCTCAGGTAGCAGGACACTATGACAACCACACACAAGGGACATGAGGCCAGCTTCAGGAGAAACCATGGGGTAAGACTTCCTGCCAGCCAGAAAATGTGACTTCTGCCCACTTCCTATCATGCCACCTCGGCCCACTCCATCCTTCCACAACTCTGGCCAAGCAGTCACAATTTGGGGATAAGAACACCTGAACTTAACAAAACCATTTGTTAAGCTTGAACATTTATGCGGGTGAATAAGCCGTAAAGCCGTAAAGGCAGGAAGCAGGGAGAGGCAACAGGCAAACAGGTAAGAGCCATAGGAAGAGGTCAGAGAGACCTGAGCCACTGCCATGGAGCTGGATAAGCCTTACAGATTCGGGGAACTACCAGTGAGCAGGCTCCAGTGTGTCAATATTTGTTCACGTATGTTTGCATGATGAGATTCAGATCGAGAGAAGGGTCAATATGAACCTTCTTCATTGATACTGGGGAATGGCCAACATTCAAAGAGAGAGAAAAATAAACATTTTGTCACTTTTAAGCACAGTTGTTCCATAAATTCTTGTGAATAACAGCACCCGCATATTCTTTATGGAAGAAGTATCGTCAGTAAACAGATGCATTCACTTATCCAACAAATATTTAATTCCAATAGGTACTGTTTTAGGTTCGGGGATTACAGAGATAAACAGGACAAAGTCTCTGACCATAGAAAGCTTCCTTTAGGAAGGGCGAGGGGGAGGGGGAGGGAGAACATATCTAAAAACAAGCCAATATAACACCTGGCCAGATATTGATAGGCCACATGATGAAAACAAAAGAGATGCTAAGGATGGAGGTGAGAGCAGGGTCCACTGCATTGACAGAGAAGGTGAAGAGGGAGAGGAAGCCACAGAGAGACCCATCCCAGCAAGTGAGGAGGGTCCAGCATTGGCCTTGAGGGCGGTAAGAGTTGACTTTGGTGTGTTTGAATATTTATCTAGAATAAGTACTATAAATAGTACTAGAATATTTATCAGAAGGATTCTATTTAAGAGTTTTTAAAGCATAATTTTGATATGTGCATAATGACATTTTTAAACGGTTATGCAAACAATGATGCAGTTAGGAGACTATCATAATAGTATGGTCCCAACTATAATCCTATTTTTACTTTAGAAATTCCACTGGTCTGGCGTCTCACATCTGGGTAACTGGGTCAGAATATTCCACTTTTAGACAGCCACACCTTTATATAGTCAGCTTGTATACTCAGTCATCATAGAAACATCAAAGCCCCTCATACTGAGACCATGTCCCTCACAGATGACCCCTCGGTGTCTATCAACCTAGTCACTCAAGGTGTATCATTTTCTAAAAAGACTAGCTCTTTGGACAGCAGCCTCTATGTCACCATCTTATGAAGGAAGAGTGGTGGGCTACTGCTCTTTTTACCCACAAACCAAGTTCCTAGCTTTAGGGTTAAGTTAAAGTTATATTCTTTGGAGACAAATAGCAACAGAATTTGCCTACTAACATGAGTTCTTATAAAAATCAAATGGAAAAATATCTGGGCTGGTCTGTTGTGTATAAAATTTTCCTAGGGGGCACTTTTCAGAAATCACTGAATGGAAAATCACCAGAATGGAGTGTAGAGGTTTGACTCCTGAGTCATTAGCAGGCAGATGGAGTTCTCAGCCTTGTGTGGTGAGGGCAAAGGTTGGAGGGTGATGGAGCAGAAAGAGCACGTTTGGGGTAGGGCATAGCATTATGGACAGCGATCATTGGGAATAAACCAAAATTGTCTTTAAAGCTCTTCCAGCAACTTTCCTTTGGATACCTTTGGAAAATAATGTATTCTTCTTGAGACAGAATAGAAAGAAGTCTTACCTGCCAATTAGGGTTGGCCTATTTATTATTTATCGCCCACTAATTTAAAGTCCATGGAGTCCTATTTGAAGTCCTATTAAAGCTAACTTTTCTTTTGTGACTTTCTGCCCACTCTCGCTTCTCAAGTCTTACTAAATTACCAGATTGAAACTTGCTGCTTTGATAAGGTCTCACTTTCTAAAGACTGAATAGCTTCTGTGTGTTCAGGATCAAGCTCACGGAGGCTTCCTAACCAGCAGAAATGCTGGCTTTTGGAGGAAGGCTGAACCAAACCCACACACAGCTCACACCTAAAGGGTGAAGGTGCCAAGAAAGCCCGGGACCTACATACAGGCTGGGCAAACCCAAATGTCCAGAAAGCGTTCTGCAACAAGATTGCAAGGCATTTCTCTTATAGGCACCTTCCCAAGAGCAAAGTGGCTAATATGATTCATACAAATTATGGGCCCGACATTTGCCAGCTTCTCAAAGAGCAAGATACTGGGCTTGGACAACAGGCAAACCTAGTCTCCGGATCTTAACAAAACAAACAAACACTCCTTCCCAGGCTGCTTATTTGCAGGCTGCCTCTTACTTTTGCTAAAGCATTCGCGTTCCCCAACCCCGCAGGGATGGGCGAGGTTTCCCAAGCCACGTGGGAGGGGGGGGTGAAGGCCAGCATCCCAGCACTCACAACCCGGCCCCACTAGGACCCGACGGAAGCGGCGCCTCAGTGGAGCTGGGAACGAGCTCAGCGGGCCAGCCAATCAGAAGCCGCGTTTGCGGAGCCGGCCGCCGACCAGATTCCCCAACCGCCAGCCCTCCCCGCCCCCCGGCCGCCCGGGGCACCGGTTATTTAAAGGCGCGCCGGCTCCACGCTGTCGCGGTCCGCGGGCCTGGTCTGTGTGTGCAGCGCAGCAGCATGGCGACCCACGTCGTGCTCTCCAACGGCATCAAGATGCCCTTCGTGGGTCTGGGCACCTGGAAGGTAGGGGCGGAGGGGGCGCGTCCTTCAGCTCTTGTCGGACTTTTTTTTTTTTTTTTTGGGGGGGGGGAGGGGTCCGCTCAGCCTGGGCGAAAGGGGGCGGCAGGGACACTCAGCGGCCCCGCAGTGGACGCCTGGCCTCCGGTCGCCCCGCGGGCCCCGAGGTGGGCCGGCCGCTGGCTCCTGGGTCGGGCCGGGGGCTCGAGTGAGGCCGCCTCTGTGCCCACCGGGTGGGCTTGGCCCCCGGTCCGCGCTGGGAGTCCGATCCCAGCTGGAAAGGTCCCTAAAAAGGACGGAAGGAAAAGGGGTGCATCCCGGAGCCCCCGCCGCCCGGCCGCGGGGATGGACCGCGGGAGGCGGATCCGAAGGAGATGGGGTGTTCCGCTGCGAAGGGCACCGGTTGCGCCGCCTCCTTGTCTGTCTTATAAATAGTTTGGCCTCTGAATCGTTTCCGTTTTTTTTCTCTCCGGAATAAGCATCTCGGGCTAATTGCGCCCGGAGACCGCGGATAATTAAATTAGGGGGCGCGGGTTTGCCCAGGGCGCATCCGTGTCCTCCTTCCCAGACGCGCAGCGCTGAGCCCCTCCAGCCCCGCCTGGCTTTGGGGGTGGGGGGGGGGTCCCCTGGGAACGCCGCGGGGAATCGGGGCGCGGATGGGTACCGCCCAGGAAACCTGTTAGCATCAGTGTGAAAACGCCCCCCTTCCCCCCAAACCTGATCACCACCGAAATCTCTTCCCTCCCAGCGCCCCGAAGGAAGACATGGTTAGGAACAGAGTGGAGAGCCAGATTTATCTGAAAATTAGGGGGTACGGAACGTGGTATTACGGGGCAAAACCCAATCTTTTTAAGCCGCTCAGGAGGTAGCTTCAGGTATTACACGTTCCATTCCACGGCCATGGCCCGGGTTTTCCCACGGACTTAAGACTGTGGGCGCGGGCCTTGGATGTTGACACACAGACAAGGGAAGAAAAGACAGGACTGAGTTGCACCCTTGCGGTGGCGTGGACAACCAACCCTAACACCCACAGTTGGAAATTAGTAAATATAAGGCGAGTAAGAACGGGGCGGGGGAAGGGGGTGTCCTAGACGTGCCTCACACAGGCCATGTTTGTTGGCCAAAGTCATCAGAATATTAGTAATCCTGTGTTTCCTTCAAAAAGGCCAGTGGTGGCTCCAAGGGTGTCACTGAATTAGGACCGTGACACTGAGTTAAATGCCATCTGTTGCAGATTATTCTCTCGGAAAGGGTGTGAAAATATGCTTTCTTGACCTACAAAATGACCTCAGGTGAACCAGATCCAAGCCTAAAAAACGTAACCCTCATCTGTCGGTCAATCCCTCTGTCCTCCAGCAGCTCCTGGCTCCGATCCTCCCAGCACAGTGACCCCCGAAGGACGAAATGTTGTCCTGTTGGTGCCAACTGAAGGCCAAAGAGTGGGGTGGTCGTGTCTCTGCCCCTGTACCAGTCACTGTGTGTGACTAGGCCAGGCTTGAGAGAGGTGCCCACCCCTCTGTCCAGGGTTGGGGCTACACGGTGCTGGGCTGGCACATGACAGGGCTCTGCAGAGAAAATCCGGGTTCCATTACGCCTGAAGAAACTTAAATGCATGCTGGGCAGTTTCCCCCACCTGGGTCCCTCACTTGTCCTCCCTCTTGGGAAGGGGTGTGCTCTGCTGTCACTGCTCACATCAGCATCAGCTGTGCCCAGGATGCCACAGAAAGAGGCTGAGGTAGTTACGGTCTACTGCTCTGCTCTGTTCCTTGAGCCATGGAGGTTGGGCAAGGCTGCAGGTGCAGCTGCTTACGTCCTCCAAGGAAAGAGGAGGTTGTCAGGTCGTCTGAAGGTGTTCTTTGATCTAACAGCGGAGGGTGGTGCCAACCGCCTCCCTGCTCCCTCCATGGTGGATAGCAAGCTCAGGGTGCTAGCAGGCTCAGGTCACGCTCTATTCTCTTGGCTCCATATTCCCCCCCTCGCCTGTTCACAACAGCTGATAAAGCAGCAGATGTCTGCAGCTGTGCTGGCCCCAGGGAGTTTCCCTTTCATTCTTTTCTACCCCACTCTCAGAGGAATGCCCTTGATTCTTTCAACAGTCTGTTGAGCTGCTTAATTTCCACCTCTTTGGTCTGAGCAGGAGATGGAGCAAGTATCTACACAGTTGATCTGGGTGAAGCTTAATGGTTATGCAGGCACTTCTCTTCCTCCTCAACAGCCAGGCTCCCCACACCTGTCCTGGTCACTCAGAAGTTTTGGACACAGACAGCCATTCAGCTTCTTCGTTGCTGTGACCACAAACCATATGATGATGTTCCGAGATTCAGACAGTGTGAGAATTGATGCCCAGGCCTTGGTATCAGTAATATTCTTGACTATGAGCGTCTCCCAGAACTGCTTCCAAGCAAGGGATTGCCAGTATCTGAATTCAGGCACCAGACAGTGGGGGATTTTTTATACAGTGGTTTGTAAATCAACTGATGTGAAGAAACAAGGAGTGAATGGCTGTGCACATCTCTTTAAGGTGATCGATGCTGCTGTTGAATTATCCTAAAATGAAGCCATCTGGCATTTCAGGTCTGCCTGAGAGCAAAAGGTTCAGTGCCGGCCTTACAGGAACAGGCGCTTCCCTGAGGAGCGGGAGGCTCACACTGTCCTCCTCCCTGGTTGTGTGCAAACTGTCTTCTGTTTCATTGTGGATTTTAACTCCATGCTTTCCGTTTCCTTCCAGTCCTCTCCGGGCAAAGTGACGGAGGCTGTGAAGGTGGCGATTGACGTTGGGTACCGCCACATTGACTGTGCCCACGTGTACCAGAACGAGAACGAGGTGGGTGTGGCCATCCAGGAGAAGATCAAGGAGCAGGTGGTGAAGCGTGAGGACCTCTTCATCGTCAGCAAGGTACTGCTCCTGGGAGCCGGGGGATATGGGTCTCGTTCATGTTATCCGTTGGTGGCATCAGCTTAGGAGCCAAGGCTGTACTCTGGGGCCTCTTACTGCAGCTCCTGTTATATCCCTGGGCACACAGGTCTTCCAGGGAGAATGTGTAGACTCGAGGCCATAGCGGGCTCCCGAACTTGCCCATCCACGGCTGCCTATTGGAAGTTATTTCCACTGGACCCGTTGGTTATGCCCCCTTGCCGATGAGGCTGAGGTCGTGGTTGGTGCTTTCTTTCCAGGGACTTATCTTTAAGGCAGGACTTGGTTCCCATCTACAAACTAGATCTCCACTGCTGGCCACCGCCTGGAGGTGAAGCTGGCTCTGAAGACCGGCCTTATAGGAACATAGCCCTGAGACTCACATGTCGGGCCAGGGCTGGTGCCCAGCTGTCCATTCTATTTCATGCCTTGAGTTTGGTCCCTTTGGAGGTATCCTGCCTTCCTTTGGAAAGTTAGCATCCACACTGTGAAGTGGAGTCTCCTCTGCCACAATGTGTAGCATCACGGTGACGTGGGTGGGTTATGGTGAGAGGAGAGCGAATCATCTGGCTTCAAGCCGTCTGGCTCCAGCCAGGAAGCCGCTTCCTGTGTGGAGTGATAGGCTGTGTTCTCTCGCTGGCTTCAGCTGTGGTCCACGTACCATGACAAGAACCTGGTGAAAGGAGCCTGCCAGAAGACGCTCAGCGACCTGAAGCTGGACTACCTGGACCTCTACCTTATCCACTGGCCCGTCAGTTTCAAGGTGAGGGCACGGCTCAGGGGCAGCCCGTGCAGGCGGGCGCCTCCTTATTAGCAGGTGAATGGATGCACTCTGTGTGTGGTGACTGCTCCAGGGCAGTCCTCAGGCCGGCGGCAGCAGCAACATCACCTGGGAGCATGTTAGAAACCAGTCTCGGGCCCCACCCACGGCTTCTGCATCCAAACCCCAATGACTGAGAAGTCCTGTCCCGGTTGGTGGGTGATTGTGCAGTTTACAACCTTGTAACAACCAACATGACTCAGGACATTCCTGCACCTGGCCCAGATGTTACCCGCTATCCCCTCCCTGCCCAGAGGCACACGAGCTCGTATACGTTCATACCCTGCACCTGTGTACATGTGCATATTCCTACATTCCATACACATGCCACATCCTGTGGAGGCTTGGTGACTGTTTATCAGCATTCTTACTCTGCACAGAAGGAGTCTAGCGTTATTATGCCCTTTGTGCAATCCAGCTGCAGGCTCAGTTTTCCACTCTGTCAGCCAGATGGAAAGTGTGGAGTTTACCCTATAGCTCTCTTTTATTGCACTGGAGGTATCCAGGCCTGACTTTCATTGTTTGTGTTTCTTGATAAGCCACCGAGGCTTGGCGAGGCGACGGTCCTTTAGTCTGGTGATCCAGCCAGCACGTGGTCCCTGCGAGTTCTGGTCTGAGTCCTCCCTCCACCCACACACTCTAGTCCATGGTGGGGCTCCTTCCCTGACCAAGAGTGACCCATTTCCATCTAACTGTCCGCTCCGGCCCATTTGATCTTAACTGTAGGGAGCTTCAGGAGTCGTCTGCCTATTTCTTTCTCACACGGGCAGATTTGCCCTTGACTGTCTTCTAAAAACGTGGCCAGCTCCCGTAGTGTAGAACAGAGTTAGAACTTTGCTTTCGAAGGTGTAACTGCATGTCAGTGAAGGGCTATTACTGACTCTGCGTTTGATTGTCGTGACAGCCCGGGAGCGAATTTTTCCCGTTGGATTCCAAGGGCAGCGTGATTCCCTCTGACGCAGATTTTGTGGACACGTGGGAGGTAAGACTGTCTGTCCCTGTTTGGCTTTCTTCGCCGGAGCTGGCTTCCCGCTGTCCTTGTGAGTGGACAGGTGTGAGTTATGCCACTTCCGCCTCTGGTTTTGCTCCTCTGCCTCGTTAAAGCCAGCCTGGCTCCAGCCTTGCTGTCTCTTGGCTTCTCCAAGGTCTGACTGGCACTGAGTAGTAAGGGCTGGGCTGGTGTAAAAGAGGCCTCTGGCCCTGTTCTTCGGGCCGGGTGTCAGGAGCAAGCAGCCCCTCTCTTGTCTTTAGGCCATGGAAGAGCTGGTGGACGAGGGGCTGGTGAAGTCCATTGGGATCTCCAACTTCAACCATCTCCAGATCGAGAAGCTCTTAAACAAACCTGGCTTAAAGCATATGCCGGTGGTGAACCAGGTCAGCATCCAGCAGGGAGCTGGTGGGCACGGACGCTCGGTGCCCTCTGATTCTGGCGGTCACTGCTGTTCATGTCACCAAGGAGCGGCCGGGAGGCAAGCTCCCGGGCACTGGCACAGTCCTCACTGACGGTTCAGAATGACATGGCACATTGGGAGTGAAACTTGTAGAGAGAAGGGTTGAGCCTGGCTGTGATGGTTCCGGGCCTCACAGATGAGCAGCCTGGGACACTGAGGTCCTCAGACCTGTCACAGCTGATAAGTGGCCAAAGCCAGAGAGACCCTAGGGCCACGGCCACGCCAGGGTATGCCAGGAACAAGGTTAGTGCTGCTAGTGTCGAGGACACTCCCTGGGAAGCGTAGCCGTGGTTGCGGCTTATCTGGGAGATAGGATGTTGGTTACACAACTTATCCACTGGCCCGTCAGTGGATGAGGTGGAACTTGGCATGGGTACCTTCCTGAGTGTGCCCTCGCCAGGGCCCAGGCCTGCATCTGCCTCCTGCTTGCACTTGCAGATCGAGTGCCACCCGTACCTCACTCAGGAGAAGCTGGTCAATTATTGCCAGTCCAAAGGCATTGTGGTGACGGCCTACAGTCCCCTCGGCTCTCCCGACAGGCCCTGGTGAGTCCCCGGGGGGCCGTGTTTTCCTGTCCGTTGGTGAACATTAGAAATGGCTAAAGAGAAACATTCAGCGCCACGGAAAACAGCTTGGACTGATGTGCAGACCTTCCCAGGAGCCTTTGCTGGGTTTCCTGGTCGGCCTTTCGAGTGGCCAGAGGCCTGCTCTCTTCCCAGAGGGGTGGGAGTTGTAACTAAGCTTTGAATCGGGAGGGCATGGGTGGGCTGCCCTCTGAGGCTGACGGGAGTCAGGGTTGGGGTGGCGGCTGCTTTGAGTGGCGGCACCGACGGTTGCTCACCCGGGTCACCTTTCTGTCTCCAGGGCCAAGCCCGAGGACCCTTCCCTGCTGGAGGACCCCAGGATCAAAGCCATAGCTAAGAAGTACAATAAAACCACAGCCCAGGTACGGCCGTGGCCAGGCCCTTGTGACTGCATTTGGGGTGGCCCCGTGGGCCAGAGGGGAGGTGGCCCGCCCGTCAAGCCCTCTTGGAAGTGTGGCTTGGGGCTGTGGAGCGTGTGGTAGACGGGGACCAACTGCGAGTGAGAAGGTGTGTGTGGTACCTCCCCGGGCTGCCGCGGGGCCAGCAGCTGCCACTGCCGGTCAGTGCGTCTGCCCTCCTAGAGCAGGTGTTAAGCTGCGTGGGAATCTGTCTCCTCCCCGTGGAAGCAGCAGCTCCTGGCCCGTGAGCTGTCAGTCTCTGCGGGAGGGAGGCCTGGTGGCTGAGAGCCGGGCGAGGGTCATATTTTTTTTTTTTTTTAAATATATTTTATTGATTTTGTACAGAGAGGAAGGGAGAGAGATAGAAAGTTAGAAACATCGATGAGAGAGAGTCATTGATCAGCTGCCTCTTGCACACCCCCTACTGTGGATATGCCTGCAACCACGGTACATGCCCTTGACCAGAATCGAACCTGGGTCCCTTCAGTCCCCAAGCTGACGCTCTATCCATTGAGCCAAACCGGTTTTGGCGAGGGTCAGATCTTTAGGGCCACCCTCCTTGCTGCTGGGTTAGCCCAGTGCCTTGGTTTATCACTTGAAGTTCTGGGATGGCCCCTTCCAGGTATGGATGCATAAGGTTAAGAGAGATATTGACTGACAGAGTTCTTGGTGACCATCCGTACACACTCGGCACATCTGTTCTCAGGTTCTGATCCGGTTCCCCATCCAGAGGAATTTGATCGTGATCCCCAAGTCTGTGACCCCTGAGCGCATCACCGAGAACTTTCAGGTAAGGCGTGGCTGGTCCCCTGGTTTTCCTCATGGAGACGGGGAGGACTCTTCACTGGGTCTCGGCCTGTCCCTGGAGGGTGAATGGGTCCCCGCCCTCTGGCAGGTCTCGGGCGGAGCCAGCCTCAGTAAGCTGCAGTGAACACACCTTGGACAGTGGCTCCTTCTGGGTGGAGGCACCACTTTGAGGTGGCCCCGTGCCTCAGTTTACCCCCTGCACACGCACACTCCTGTGCTGAAGCTCAGTGACTCCATGTTGCCATGAGACATGTTTGTGAGTGACACTGGGGTTGCATCACAGCTTCATTAGTTGCCTCAGTTTCCCCATCTATAAAGTAAAACCTATTTCAAGGGCTCTCGTAAGGATTTAATAAGGTACGTTAGGGGCTTCACACACAATGCTTGGTTCCCAAGTAAACGCTCAGGAGACGCTGCTGTGCTGAGGGTAAGTCCCTGGTCTGCAAGGAGCCTACAGGCCAGTCCTACACTCTCTCTGCCTGTCCTGCCCCCCTCTGCCTGTCCTGCCCCCCTCTGCCAGTCCTGCCCACCTCTCTGCCAATCCTGCCCATTCTATGCCGAGACCCCATCTCACAGTGGGCTGAGCAGCATGGCTGGCACTAGGGCACCAGGAAGTGGTCTCTGTGGGTCCTGGGAGCACCCCCAGAGCACATCAGCCTGGCGTCACCCCTCCCTGCCTCTGCACTGGTGCTGGGTCTGGGCCTGATGCGCTGGGCCTCCGAGCTTGCTGAGCAGAGCAGCTCCCTAGGGCCACGCGGCCTCATTGAGCTTTGGTTTCCAGCAGCTGTTCCCACTGCGAGCAGCTGGCTCTGCCTGTTCACTGGCCATGGCTGTGGCCGGGGCGTGGGCCATAGGTCACCTGGGAGACGGGGCAAAGCCTGGGGAGGGGAGGGTGCTTGTTGTGTCGTAGGGGAACATTTCTCACTTCAGATGTTTTGACTATTGGAGATTGGATGCTTTGCCTTGTATTTCATATTTTCAAGGTGTTAGAAAAGGAATATTTTGAACTGACAGATCTCATGGTGCTAACATTTTATTTGTGTGTAGTCCTTGCACATTTGCACAGTTGTAATCACAGTCTGCAGCAGACTTCTCGCACGTTCTGTGATCATCCAACGCGGAGGGCCTCCTGGCCTGTGCCCGGCCCTCCCAGCCTTCCCGGTGCTGCTCAGGGCCTGCCCGCTGGCCTCCGTACTGGCCATGGCTCTCTGTAGACCGTGGTCTCTGTGCAGACAGTTCTCCGGGCGCACCTCTTGCTCTCTGTCAGACCTGACGTGGCCTCGCAGGCCTGCCCCAGGCCCTCTGGCCACAGCGGGCTCCCGGTTCCCCCGGCCCCCCCAGCGCTGTGTGCAGTGCCCCTCGCACCGGGCGCGGTGCATTCCTCCTGCACTTACAGCTAGCTGTTGTGTGTCCTTTGTAAACGAGGCAGTCACATCTTCCCATCTTGGTCCTCCCCGATGCTGAGCACAGCAGAAATGCCAGGGAGGGTCTTGAAATGAAGTCAGTGGAGGCCCTGGAAGGGAAGGGCTGATTCTGTTTCATGAACTCCCAGCCGAGCCGTGTGCCTTCTCTGAATAAACCGACAGTCAACTTTCTCCGAGTTCAGCCTCCGTCTCCCCTCACCGCTTAGCCCTGCTGCGGTCTTGGGGTTGAGCTTTCCTTGCAGAGCTTACTGGCTGTTTCTCTCCTAGGTCTTTGACTTCGAGCTGAGCAGCGAGGATATGACCACCTTACTGAGCTACAATAGGAACTGGAGGGTCTGTGCCTTGGTGAGGTGAGTGGGTCCCGGGCAGACCAGACTGCAGAGCGGAAGTGTAGCTCCCGGCAGCCGAGGCGTCCACGTCCTGTGTCACCATCACGGCTCATTTGGCGCGTTTCCTGGCGTTCTCACGCATGTGCCGCTGGAAACGTTCGCCCAGTGTCGGTCCCGGGAAGGGGCCGGGGTGTCCGCTCTAGTGTCTTCTCATCCCGGCCCAGGTGCACTGTAGCCTGACCGCAGTAACCGCATGTTCTGGCTTTTCATTTCCAACTCTGACTGCCGGTGACACCCAGAGGGCCCAGGCGGCTCCTGTCCACCTTTGTGGAAGAGTTTGCCTGCGGCCCTATGAGAATGACGCCAATGAAGGGGTGTAGTGCTCGGGCCCAAGATCATCCCATGGGCCATCACGGATGGGCCACTAGCTCTGAGATGGTCTCGGGGCCCTCTGCCTGGCCTCCAGCCACACATCCCGGGTCCTTGTAGTCCCTGATTTGTCGTTTGGACTCTGAGAGAGGTGATAAGGGAGGCTGTTCATTTCCTTCTCCTGCTGTACAATAACTAACGTTAGAACTTGTTTTCTGCTTTCAAGAAGAACCGTCCCATTTCCATGGGCATCTAAGAGCCTCTTGCTGTTCTCACTGTCTGACTTCTGCCGGTTCCTTCTGTCTCCTTACTAGTTAGTTACTCTCCTACACGAAATTGAACATTCCCCGAGCCAGGTGGGTGGCTAGCTCTCCAGTGCAGGGTCTGCCCCCTGCTGGCTTTTGCCGCCCTGGGCAGATGTTCCCTGGTGTGCATCTTGATGGATAACTCTCCTGTCCAGCTGTGAACACGCTGGCTGTCACACCCTGGCCTCAGACTCAGAACAGGCTCCAGAGGTTACCACTGGCAGCCCCCAACCAGGGCCCTTTCTGATGTCGCTGTGTGAGTGAATGCTGTTTAATCTTTAGACATTTAAACCGTTTTTGGATCTAGTGCCGCTGGAAACATTCGGTAGGGGGGGAGGAGTGAACCTTTCACCAGTTTACACCTGTCTGCTTTCAGAACGTCCCTGCCATCCATTCCAAATGGAAGCTCTTGGGGTCGATAGGCCACAATGGTTTTCTATCTGTTTCCTTTACACTTAGGCTTCCTCCGCTCTCTGTTCTAGACTCCACTATCAGATTAGTCCCTGGGCTACTAATGGTTCGTGGGGATGTTTGGGGTCCGAATGGGGTGGGAGAGGCTGTCCCCAACATGCCCAGAGCACCCAGGGAGCGCTTTCTCATTTTACCTCTGGTGATTATGGTCGTACTTCGCCTCTGCTGCTAATGGCGGTGTTTATACCTCAGGTTTGATGGGATACAATGAAAGGCAGATCACGGGAACCTTTGAATGGTTCTGAGGATTTAAGTAAGAGTTATATGCCCCACTTGGATTCACCCTGGGCCTTTCATGCTCTGCCCAGCCAATCTTTCCAACTCTATTGCTCTTGTGTTCCCAACACAAGTCTTTGGCCCGGCCGGATGGGACTGGACTGGCAAACATGCTGCAGCTCTCCATCCCCAGGTCGATGCCCTGCCTCCCTCCCCCGTTCCTTTTATCGAATCCTCAACTGCTCGCTGGGCTCATGCAGCTCCCACTGTCCCAGGAGGCTCCTGAGGGATGGAGCATTCCTGACTCCCTGTACTCCAAGCACATCTCTCACGTTGTCATCACCCTGTTAATGTCTGAGACAAGATGCTCTCCTGTCCTGCCTGTCGGATGGAATTAGGAAAAAGCAGGAATTGTGTCCTGCTGCCCTGAACACCCCAGGCCCAGTGCTGGGCCCTGGGAGGGTTCTATCCGTCATTCACGAGAGTCCAAGGCAGAGGGTGAGGGTGGGTGGCCGCCCCAGTGCAGACCCATGGCCTGCAGCTCAGCCGACTTGCTCCTCTCAGGCCTTTACATATAATAGTTCTGTCTGTAATGGGACACTCAGCATTTCTGATTTCCTGTAATTTATTTTGGCTGAAATCTCTTAAAATGCTAATGTGTCCCTCTTTCTCTTGACAGCTGTGCCTCCCACCAGAATTATCCCTTCCATGCCGAGTTTTGAAGCTGTGGGTGCCTGCTCTTCCCCAAGCCACCTGCCGCCATTTCCTGCCTCGTTTTTCTGCCTTGTTCTTCAAGTACATAGTGTAGTGTGGCCTGTGGTTGGGGCCAATGAGCAGTCTCAGTGGATTGGAAACTTCCTGTTTTCTTTGCCCTTCTTGTCTGAGGAAGGTGCGACCTCGATACTCTTTCCTGACTAAATTGAATCCACAAAGTGAAAATTAGTGCCACTAACAATGGGATTTTGGTTGCTTGGAACTGGAATCCTTTCAGCCAGACTTGTTGCTCAAATAAAAAGTACTTTTGTGAGCTTGATGCTGTTCGTTTGGCGTGGTTTGTTGAAATGATTCATCGCCTCTGTCCCACTCGACCTCATACCATTGGTCCCCACAAAGCAGGCCAGTCAGCTCCGCAGCACCAGTGAGGGCTCGGCACCTTTCCTTTTGGTGGGGAACCCTGAGCCTCATATTGTACCGGTTAGCTTTAGGGTGCACATTGGAGTCAGCTGGGGAGCTGGAAAAGCCAGTGAAGTCTGGCCCTCGCCCCAGAGACAGGAAGATAGCTGGGACATCTGGAGTTCTCATGCCCCTTGGGGTTGCTGATGTGCAGGCCCCATTGGGAGCCACAGCTTTAGGGCCAACCCAGGATGTAATCCCACTGGTGATTTCACATGTGAGGCCAAGTCCTGGTTACTAAGCAGAGCTTCTCACAAGGAACTGCTTTCATGAGCTGCTTTTCTAGACTAGAGGGAAGAGCATCAGTGACTATCAGCTTGGGCTGCCACACGAAATAGCACAGAAGGGTGCACTGAGCAAGTTTATTCCTCGAGGTTCTGGAGCTGGCAGTCAGGTCAGGGTGCCGCCTGGTCTGGTTCCCAGAGGGCCACTTCCTGGCCGCTAGACGGCTCCTCCCCGCTGTGTCTTCACGTGACAGGAGGATGAAGGCTTACAACGGCTTACAATAAAGACTCCCCTCCTTTTTTTAAAGCCATTTTTTACTTTTACAGATGCTGGGTTTTTTTGTTGTTGTTGTTTGTTTGTTTTTTTAATTAATAATGTTTCCTTACCCAGACTTAACTTGATGAAGGTGAAGAAAAGGATGGGGTAGACAGTGTTGACCTTAAATGTCATAGAGAAGGTGCTTTGCTGCTCCCTTTACCGGGGGACCATAGCCCCAGTTAACCTGCTTGGCAGGTCATCCGTGTGTAAGTGGCTCAGGGATGGCAGAGCATCAGGCCCCTGAGTGGCTGGGATGGAGCTGAGCAGACAGCCCTACCGGATCACTGCCTGGCAGCCCCGAGCCTGGGCCTCTTCCTGGCACCTGCTGGTCACCGTGATCCAGTTTCTCCTGCTGGTTAGGCAGGTCCCACCTTATCCCAAGTCAACTATAAACCCCCTACACCACGCATGTCAAACTCAGCTATCACAGGCCAAATAAGGTTTAAATTTCTGTGGGCCACACACAAAAAAAGGTTCAATTTTCTTAAAAATGTAGATTTATTTCAATAGAGACATGCTGAATACAAAGGCCTGAAATAAATGAGTAGTTGTCAACATATAATAGTACATTTTAATAACACTGAATAACTGCACAAACTAGTAAGTGTAATGCAAATAAACCTACTTTTCTTGTTCCCCAAAAGCAAAATATTTCCTTTTGTGCACACCAAACAAGTCAGTCCAAGACGAATGACATGGCAATTGGCTTCTAAAATATTGGCTGCTAGTATTAGAGAGAAATGTGTGCCTAAGGGAAATGAATGCAACACGATTATTGTAATCAGTCAGCAAACATGGTAATTCGTTATTAATCATTATGTATAGCAGGATATTGTAAGAATTAAGTTACAAAATTTTTATTAAGACATTTCTTACATACCGTTACATTCATTGTGGGCAGCATACTGCCTATGGGCCACTAGTTTGACATGCTTGCTCTACTCAGTGTTTCCCAAACTTTTGACATATGTGTACCCCTTCTATAATTTTCATAACGCTGAGTACCCCTCATACTCATGAGAACGTAGAATTAGGTGCAGCTAAGCACGGTGCAGTGCATATCCCCACCAAACTCCGGTGCAACGCGTACCCCACCAAACTCTTCCCGTACCCCTGGGGGTACACGTACCACACTTTGGGAAACACTGCACATCATCAAGAGCAGACCCCTGTTTTATTGTGCTAGGTTCGGTCCTCTGTAACCCAGTCCCTACCCTTGTCTCTCAGTCCGGAATTGGCTAAACACACTTTCGGAAGAGTGTCCCTAGAAAGAGTTTTAAAGTCAGCTGCCTGCCATCTGGATTCCTGAGTAAAAACGCATCAGAAAGACTTGAAAAGTCAGCCAGAAGCACCAACAAGATGAAAGGCCCTGCGCTGGCCTGGCCAGGCTGATGGCCCCGGGGGTGGGGGAGGAGGAAATCAAGGCCTCCCACAGAGGACAGCTCTGTACTTTGAAGACAAAATAGGAGTATATTCCGCAGCCTGTGTTCCCTGGAGCGGGCAGGGGCCTGGCACATTGGTACTGGACGTTGTGGGAGGGAGCACAGGTGAGGCTGTGGCACAGTGGGGCCAGCTTCAGGCCACAGCTAACAATTGATGTGAGCTGGAGCAGAGAGACGCGGAAGTTTCCCATAGAAAGAGACCGCTTTCCCCACGGACAGGCTGTTCCTCCTTCCCTTTATAGAAATAAAATCCCATACCTTGGGGTCAGGGCCCAGCCCAGCCCAGGGCTCAAGTGGAGTCACGGTGACGCGGTAAAATACTGAAGACATTGTGAAACAGCTGGGGTTTTACCAAAACAGAGTCTTTACCAAGACTTGTTAATAAGATAAAGAGACCAACTGAAAGACGGAATTAAGTGTTACTGAATCGCAGGGGCCGTTAAGCCTACTCTTGACAAGTCTCTCTGAACAACAGGCTTGATCTCACACCGCACAGGTTCTCAGGTCTAACTTCACGCCGAGAGTTTTCTCAGCACCGAGTCCTCTATGGCTTAGTGTGGGTCTGAGGTGCTGACTAAGGGAGGCAGTGCCCCACCAGGAGATGCACAACCCAGGCAGGCTTCCCAGAGGGACTGGGGGACTGTCTTAGGAGACAGTCATAGGGGCTATTCCTAGGGGGACCGTCTGTAGAAGGTCATGGCTCCCTGGGACCCAGCACCAGGTCATACCCAGTCTTTCTTCCTTTGAAGGCATTCGCTAGCTGTGCTCTAAGGAAGACCTTGGTCTCCAGTCCCTGGAACCTTCCTGTCCGACTCTGGAGTGCACCTTCTCAGGTCCTCCTGCAGCCCAGCTCCCAGCTTAGCCAGAGGGGGCACCAGTGTCTGTCTTCCTTGCCCTTCTGTCCACAGAGCCAGTGCCTGGGCACAGACAAGGCTCCCAATGTCAGTTGCATGAACTATAATACCAAGTGAAGGAATGAAGAGCTTTTCTTAAAATTAACTAGTAAAACCTCCTGGTGTGAAATCGATGTGTTTCAGACCCAAAGAGGGGCTGCCCAGTTCTGAACAGTGGCCTAAAATATGCGAAAGGGTGGCAGAGGGTTGTGCACTCATAGCACAGCTCTACTCTCTCCTAATCATGGCTCTGGAGAAATATCTACCCTCCCGGCCTTCGTTTCCTCGATCTCTAAAATGCCTGGCTCCTCTTGGTCACGAGGATTAATGAGATCATAGATGGAAAACCCCTATCCCAGGCCTTGCACACAACAAAGCAGTACCTGACAGCCATTATTGCTGACATTGTCAACATCATCGTGATTATAACCCAGGCACATACCTTGACTGGAATCAAACCCAGGACCCTTCAGTCTGTAGGCTAACACTCTATCCACTGTGCCAAACCAGCTAGGGCTCTTTTTCTTTTTCTTTTTAGATTCTTTTTTTATTTTTTATTCTTTACAGAGAAGAAGGGGGAGGGAGAGAGAGCTAGAAACATCGAAGAGAGAGAAACATCCATCAGCTGCCTCCTGCACACCCGCCACTGGGGATATGCCCAAAACCAAGGTACATGCCCTTGACCGGAATCAAACCTGGGACCTTTCAGTTTGCAGGCCGACGCTCTCTACTGAGCCAAACTGGTTAGGGCTTCTTCTTCTTCTTCTTCTTCTTCTCCTTCTTCTTCTTCTTCTTCTTCTTCTTCTTCTTCTTCTTCTTCTTCTTCTTCTTCTTCTTCTTCTTCTTCTTCCTCCTCCTCCTCCTCCTCCTCCTCCTTCTCTTCCTCCTCCTCCTTTTTCTTCTTCTTCTTCTTCGAGTTCATTTGAGCCAGCTGGGACTTATGGCAGCAGGGACGGGGCCGGGGAGGTGGGGTCTGGCTCCCTGTGTGCTGAGGGCCTGGAGGACCCCACTGACAGAGGTAGTCCCTCTGTCTCACTTCTCTCAATCCCACAGGCCCTGAGGCAACCTCCCCGACCTGGCCTGTTTCCAGCAAGGCCTCCGAGATCCCGTCTTCCGAGTGCACCTGGCTCTGGAGGCACCACAGGCATAGCGGTGGGCAGCCTGGCTCCCTGTGTGCTGAGGGCCTGGGAGGACCCCACCAACAGAAGTAGCTCTGGCCCAGAGACAAGGTGTCTGTGGTGGCAGTGGTCCCCTTTCAAGTGGTGGCCCTCGCTGCTGGCTGATCCTGGGAGCAACCTCCTGGCTCAGAAGATGCACAATCTCAGGGACAGCCACCGTGGCAGGCCAGATTGACATGGGGGGCATTTGGGAGCAGGATCAGGTCGGCAAGAGAAGGCAGTTAGAGGTGATCAGGCAGGTAGAGGCAATTAGGGGCGATCAGGCCAGCAAGGAAGGGCCATGGGGGTTAGGTCAGGCCAGCAGGGGAGAGCAGTTGGGGGTGAGATCAGGCCTGCAGGGGAGGGCAGTTGAGGGTGAGATCAGGCCTGCAGGGGAGGGCAGTTTGGGGCAAGATCAGGCAGGCAGAGGCAGTTAGGAATGATCAGGCAGGCAGGCAGAGAAGTTAGGGGAGGTCAGGCAGGCAGAAGGGTTAAGAGCAATCAGGCAGTCAAG